CAATCTTCAGCCCAGATGGGAGGGACAACATGATGTCATCCTGACTGCATCCACCTGTCTTAAAGTAACAGGTTGTAAGCTGAGGATTTATCACTCACAAGAGAAAAAGTGGGTAGCTGTGGCTCCACCAGCCCTGCCATCCCCCAGACTCTGTACACCTCAACGATCTGAATAACTCATGCAATGCAGCTCTGTCAAAGTTGTCAAAATGAACCTGGGGTTCCAGGCCATCCTGATCTTGGCAGCTACCATGGGATGGATAGTGACTGCTTTTGGCTCAGAGACTCCAGGAGAACATGTCTGCAATTACATTCTCGAGTGAACATGGGTGGACTCTGTCAGACTCAGGCAGGCCATGCTCACCTCTTTGTGCCTCTCTTGTGCTCAACAGATTGTAATATTTGTTTTGCAGATATGTAAATTATGGAGCCTAGATTATTGAAAGGGAAAGGCTGATCCAGCAAAACATTCCTTCCTTGCCTGTGAGGTTCAAAAGCAGGCAATCAATCCACAGTCCCATGCACATGAAGGAAAAATCTGGACCTGGGTATAGTCGAGGATGGTCTATATGTGTGCCCAAAGGTGATGGGAAGGAATTGTGGCAAAGAAAGAGAAGTATATCGCCCACATTGGAGTTGTAACACAGTCAGGCTTGAAGGTGAGGTTTTCAAAGGAAATCCTCAGAGAGATCCAACCTCCCTAACTAGTTGGTGAATACAAAGTGATGCACATATTCAGATGTAGCAGAAAAAAAGTGGTGGTCGTTGCGTTCAATACTCAGATGGGATTTGCACACAAGTTAGGATTGTTACAAATTGTTGATGACCTACTTTGATTTACCAGACTCATATAGAAAGTGTGCATGCACCTTGGCACAGTCTCAGTATATGACCCAGGAATACTCATAGAGGTCACCCAGGTAGAGACAACCCTTTGAAAGTTAGTGGCCCCTTTCCCAGCTTTGATTTGAGAGCTGCATTGTGCACAGAACACTGACCTTATAGTCATCCCAAATACGGATCAGCATAAGCAGCAGTCAACCCCAGAGCCCCCAAATGGATCTGGGTAGCCTAAGAGCTAAGCATGAAATCTATCAGTTGCTCAGTGAAATCCACTCTTTGCTAAACTTGTCTAGCCCTCAATAAGTAAAAGCCTGCTGGATATATATATATGGTCCACACTTTTATGAGACTGCAGCTTCCACAGAGCCTGTAACACCCACCCAATGCTTGTGCTCCTTGGAAGAGGAAGAGACAAGGTCTCTTTGCATGGCAGAATCAGTGTACAGAAAAAGATTTTAAGTGGGACAAGGAAAGAATCAAGCTACTTGCAGTCAGCTAGCTTCACAAAAGCTCACTTTCTGAGTTCTCAGAGGGACATGGTTTTTCAGCATGAATGTGGTACTTAAGTGTTCAGATCATAGCCAGAGGTTAACTAGGGTAGGCCCTTTTCTGCTAACTATCTTGATTCACTGAGTATGACTCATCTAAGGGGAACTGAAATACCGACATCTGATTTTTGACATATTCATGCATGAAAGGAACACCCATGTATGAAGGGCAACCCCTGTGTCAGTGCAAGTTTTAACTGGGGTAGTTCTAAGAGGAAGCTTGGCTACCAGGATAGGGGTGCTAGATCATTCAGAAACTGGCCTGCACCAACTTCACTGGATAGCTGACAGTATAGAACAAAATATGACTAGATTCCATGCTGTGATAAAACAGATATATGAGCTGATACATTCTTTAGGAAAAGTAGTGTAACAAAGCACAACGGAGCTTCATCGATCACTTTCCTCTGTGGCCCCATAATCTGCTTGATCAGAAAATTTGGGACACAGCTGAGCTACAGGATGCTACATTTCAGGTTCATTTATGTGCTGAGTCCTCACTGACCTTGAATGGCAAGGGCAAAAAAGTTGGCTGTCGTAGGGTTTTGTCTGACCTTGCCAGATAAAAAAGTTACATTTCTTCTTATGTAGATCTTGCTTTATCTTGGTCTTAACCATCCAACAGTAAAGTATAAAAATGAGACCTAAAAAGGAAAGCCATATTAATATGCTGAGTTGTAAAAGGCTCAAGTCAACAACTTCTGACATTGCCAGTACTATGGATTACCTACTACTATTACGGACTACTGGAGTATATTGGATAATTTTGCTGAATTCACAGACACACAATATTTAAAGGACAATGGAATACCCATCTGTGAGAAAACTAAACAAAAAGGGCATATAAATGAATGAACATTTTATATCTGTATATACAACATAAGATAGATATGCAACTACTTTCTCTTAATTCAATGAGAAGAAATATTTGTACTAATAGTCTTTGGACAGGATATCATGTCCGCATCCTGCACTATGAATAACTACTACAAAGACAATGATATGCAATGTATTAATTATTTTAACTGTCCTACTAACCTGTTTTGAAATATTCTCATTGCTATTTGTTTCTCAATACAATTAATAAAGAAAACAGAAGGAGGCTTAATTTCATGTTCATGAAATATGGAGGACTCTACATAGCCATAGGGAAAGAGTGCTGCTTCTATGCCAAGAAGTCAAGGGTCATGGAGAATCTAGAAAGAGTAGAACACAATGTTAAAGAGAAAAAAAGATGGTATAATGACTATGACTGCCCAAAGTTGTGTGATGCCTTTTTAAACTGGAAACCGAGGTTAAGCTGTCTCATAATGGGAGTAATCAGGCCAGTAATTTGTCCCCCCTCAGTCATGTTTGCTGCATGGCCATTTCTGTTCAATTAAGTAATGCACCAAACATGGAGCATGACTAGGCAGGCAAATCCAATGGAAATGAAGGATAATACTGAATATGAAATAAGGGATAAGCTGCCATCTTCAGAGAGATGTTGTATTTCTTAGAAAGAAAAATATGCTTTAGAAGGGGGAATGTAAATGATGGTATCTAGGAAAATACCTGATTCACTTTAGAAGTAGGAGAGACTGAGTTTAGTTTGACCCCTACTTAAAGTATTTACATAGAAGATATCTGGGCCAGGCCACCTTGCCTTTTAGTCTTGCCTAAAGTACCTAATTCCTCAGGCCTTCACCTGCCATGTCAAAACTTTGTAAACATGACGGAGATGAGAAGTAGACAGGAAAAATTAAGAGCATTAAGGCCCAGATCATTTGCCCATGCTTAGTTATAAATCCCTCTGCCCATAGGATGTAGGGAGAATCACATTCCGTCCAATCACCATAGCAGCAAAGAAAGTATAAGCTGGTAGGGAACAAAGAACTGGGATTTTTTGTTTTCATAGATGGGAAGGAGAAGCACAATGATTTCGTGCTAAATTAATATATGCTGTATAATTCCTATAATTTGGTCTCCCATGAGTAATATACCCAGTCCTGGCCTTTACAATAGGATACTAACACCCCCTACTGTGGTCCTCCTCCACTTGATTCTATGTTTACAGTGTACTTTAGTTCATTTGGCACAGTCAACTCAAGCTCTGCAGTGCAGTTGCCCTAGGTCCTCATGGGGTCATTCTCATTCAGCTGGCCATGAGTCTTCTGGCTACACCTGTGTCATGTCCTCATTCACTCTAAGGGGCTTCACAGCTTTACATTGCCTGGATTTCTTTCCAGCTGATTGAGAAAAGGCAAGAGAGTCCAGATTAGCTTATGGCACAGGTCCTATGCCTTTTGGGTCTGGATATTGTGATTTCCAGGATGGCAAGGAGGGGAAGGGCAGCTCCCACTGGAAGACATGACCCTGTATTAGAATTACAAAAGTAATAGGAAGGTGTGTCTGACATGCACCAGAATGATGTAATTTGTACATCTCATGCACTTCTGGAGTTTTATGTGAACCTGTGAAGAGGAAGTAAAGTAAGGTGTTTTATTTCCATAGATTTCTAATATAGGTCCAGGCCTTATGGAGGAATCTGGAGGACAGACTAAATTTGGAAACTTTGTACCACTTCCAGTTTCACTGGACTTTTTTTACTATGTTGATCCTTAAGACCAGACAGTCAGTAAGCACTCAGGGAGGACTTGTTTGCTTATTGATGGAAAAAGTACATTTTAGGTAATTCTGCAGAGAGGAGCCCTTTGTAATGCAAAAGACTGATATATCCTATGTGTGTCCAGAGACTCTCACTTGTTAGGCCAGCAGTGATCATCAGGGAAAAGGCAAAAGGGGCTCAGTAGTTCAGTGACCAAGGTCCTCTGAGCATATAAGGTTCTCAGGAGTGAGAGGCCCTGCCTAGATGAGAGTTGGGTCCATGGGTTCCGATCTCACCAGCCTTGCCTTCTGTGTGCCTTGCATGGAACTACATGTGGTCATGGATATTGTAGGTGAGGGATTTGAGGTAGGAATAACATTGATTTCTTGTGTCCTATAGAAGTTGGTGGGCTGTGACAACTATGAGAGCAGGCAAACAGAATGGGCAGCTTGGTGGTTGTAAGCCTACGTTAGTTGGGACTTAGAGGAGAAATGGGAAGGAAAATAATTTCAAATGAGAATGAAGAGTCCCTGAGTATATGTTCCACTGCCTCTTATCACTAAAACTGTGGGAGAGAAATGTCCTAGTCAAGAAGAGTGACTTCCATTCAGTGTGATTGGACAGAGTGGCAACCTGAGAGGTGCATGACAGCACCCATGATACTATCCCCCTTTTCTACTGCCATGTGACACATGAAAATATCACATGTTCACCCCAAGACCCAGGAGAAGTGCTGTGTAAATTTTCTTCTGATATTGCTTAGCTTCGTTCTTGCAAAAGGGAAGGATGTGGGAAACTAAAGCAGGTTAGATGGAACTGGTTGTCAGCTTAGAGTGGAGATTTGAAGGTATTAAGAGGATCAGTATGTTAAGGGCCCAAAATCAACACAATTGTACCACTGGCTTGTTTAGCATGGAGTTGGTCTCTGTGAAGGAAAGCAAACAAACAAACCAGAAACAAATCTTCTTACTGCGATGAGACATTTATTTAGCAGCTGGTATCTGCTCTAGAGCTATTACAATCTCAGGCCCAGGAATAATGGTTGCTCAGAGTGGGGGCTTCATTTGCTTCCTGAAGTAAGAGATGCTTTATGGTCTTCTCTATCCAGTCTAGATAAGGAGAGAGTTTGGTGAAGGCACGTGGAGTTTTCCCACTTTTTCTTCCAGAGTTGATAATGGCCTGAAGCACCTTATTACAAATGAAGGGGCCTCCAGAGTCACCCTGTAAATAGATACTGAAGTTTAGAGGCATTACACTTAGTGTACTTGTCCCTTAAGATATCTCAAATCTGTCTGGAAGTACTACTCCTAGTCCCTTGGTGAGAGATGAAACACAAGGACAGGCCCTGTGTCCTTAGCAGTGAAGGTGTAACTGTGGGAGAGTGTTACTGCTGAATCTTACACTTGGGTCAGCTTTTGTCCTTGCCCTATGTCCTGGGACCTCATCCTGTAGAGTCCTGTGAGACCATTGGCTTCAGGCTACAGTTTAAGGACATGGAAACAGATGAGTGAGTCAGACTTGGAATAGGGAGGCCCACTGACCGAGAAGGTCACTTGGCTCTGAGAAGCCAATTGTGGATAATTGTTTCACATTTAAAGAATAGTTTCTAATGCCTAGGATGTGAATGAACTCAATCAGTGTGTTGCAAATTCACCATCCTTGGGGGGCATTCTTTACCAGAGACCCCTGCGAAACTGGTAGAAGTCTGTTACCTCCCATCTCAGGCTGTTCCCCCTTTCTCTGTTCGGGGGAAATGCACAACACAGAAGCTGAGAAGGCCCTTCTGTTTGGGTTTCCTTGTCTATGTCTTTCCCCAAAACCCCTTATTGAAAAGACAAGGGTGATAAATGTCCAGTCTTACCTTAAAGGAGTTTTTTTTAATCTTTGGGTCCCCAGCACATATGTGAATAGCACTGTCATATTTGGGCCATCGGTTTTGACACTCCTTATCATTTTGTACTGTCATCTCCACTTCTTGCAGTGTGTCTGCAATTGGCCCTTCTTTGTCCAACATTCCCCATCCAGCCACCTGGCAAATGGCACCTGGCATCACCTGGGTTTGTCCCTTGCGCAACTGTAGAATCTGCACTGCTTTATTCAGCTTGGCCTTTTTCTCCAGCTGATGGCAAAGAAGTAAGAGAGTCCAGATCAGACTTTGTCTTCTGTGCCTGGACACTGTGGTGGACATGATGGAGAAGAAGGAAGATGCAGAGCCATAGTGGGAGGAGTAACACTGCATGAGGAGTGCAAGAGAAGCAGGGAGCTATGCCTGACCTGCAGTAGCATGATGTCATTCCTTGAGTTTTCAAGACTGAATTGTGGGTGTGGGATGCGTCTTTGCACACGTATCAGCTGCTGAGTCTTCTCTTGTTTTGTGATGTTGTGTGCCCCCAGAAAGACGATTGTGCCTCTGTACTCTGGCTCTAGAGTTCTGCACAGAAAGTATAGTGGGCTAAGGAATGTGGAGCCTGAGAGGACCCATTCCAAGAGTTGTAGGTAGTAGACTACAGGCAGCCCATGTTTGTGATTCACATGACAGGAGGACCACCTGGCTGAGTGACTATGCCTCATGCTTCTTAGTAACACAGGCTGCAAACTTGGACTCAGGGTACCAGAATTACTAAGGGGTCAGTTACCTCCATGAAAACAAAACTGATTTAGTTTGCATTGTTATGCGATGTCTTGTTTCTAGGCCTTAATATATCAGGATTTTTTGTCCTGGTCTTTCTTATATCATCAATTTCTTGGGGGCCAACTTGGTTGTCTCCCCTAGGGTCTTTGCTGGCCATTTTTCTCACTGAAATGAGTCTCCTGTTTATGTGCTTCCAGGTGCATAGTGAGTTCCTTGAAAGGAAGGGACTCTGAGAAGAGTTTCCCTGAGACTCTGGGCAGTTTTTCTTTCCTCACCTGTTCAAACAGTGAGCAGCTGTTAGCACAAACTTCTCATGTATCAGAATGCCACCACACCTTGTGCATATGCTAGCATACCAAAACCTAATGAAGGCCATGTAGGGACGGGAATGGGGTTTGGCTTCATGTCCCCCTATGATCTCCCCTGGAAGAAAAGTCAGTTTATCTGCAGCCACTGAGTCACTGCTCAAGCTTCTACTTGGCTCCAGATTTGCTGGGCATTTACCATGTGGGATCTAATGCAGTTAAGAGGAAAGTGAAGGGAGGAGTCTCATATTTTTCTGCATAGGGTAGGAAATCAGGTCTTGGTCTCAAAATCTTTTTTCTCCAGACAGTTGGATATGAATTTACCTGTCTGGGGACAGTAAAATCCCAGAGGCTATTCATGATTCCTCTCCTGAGTTTTCTTTATTTTCTAAAAAAGTTATTTTAAAGAGTAGAGAAAAAAAAACAAGTAACAAGAACATAAACAAAAACAAAGCAATATAAAACAATAAAAATGATACAGAATTCCAAAATAAGCACAGGAAAGTAACAATGGTTTTAAATTACATATTGCAATCATGAAATTTGATTCTGAGATTATCAGATATAAGTTTGTAAAACTGATCAAACAATTAAACATTAATTCTTCCTTTCAGTAAACCTTACTTTTTCCTCATTCTTTCTATTTTTCATAAATTTAGTTTGAAGAAAGAATAAAAATAATATATAAGACATTGTACCTAATTCAGTTCTGGAGTGAAGTGTTATACTTCCAGTGTATTTTAGATGTTGTCTATTACTCTTTCCTAGGACCTGGTATGTGGTGTGTTTTCTCAGAATTTCACTGGCTGTGTGAGGAAGAAGCTCCAGGATATCTCTGGATGGAGGTTAGTAGGTAATTACTGATCAGATTGTGAAAGGCAGGGAAAGTAGATTCTATGTCTATGGCTCATATGGAAAGCAAGGAAGAAAGTGATTGGGGTTAAAGCAGAGTTGGAGAAGGGGACAAGGACTGAGGAAAGGCAAAAGTAGTGTTCTGAGGAGCGTGATTCCATGCATTATGGGCTTACTGATCTGTGGGCACCTCTAGTAAGCAACTAATGAGGACTCCAGCTTTCACCTCCCTGAAACAGAAGATAGGCCTATGATGCACTGAATAGGGATATTTGACATTTTCTCTTGTAACTTCTCACCATTTGCATGCACTTTGAGCAAAAGCCCACTTCCCAGATAACAAAGATAGGGCCTACAGAGGAGATAGTGTCCCCTAGCTCTTGTTGAGAACAGTCTTGTTAGCCTCCTGAGTGTCATAATTTGGGTTCTCTTGTGGGATTGGAGTTCAGGTTCAGAGCAATCCAGGTAGACTCAAGGATCAGGGCTGTGCAGAGAGGAAGGGTACCCATTTCCTCTTTAGATTGAGTCTGCGGCTTTGGGGTTGGAGATGGTAACTTACCTGCCCTTGTCTTGTGTAGTAGAGAGAAGGCCAGCAGGAGCAGGAGCAGCTGCATCTTCTCAAGAAGATTCTCCAGTCAGAGGTTGTGAATATGCATCTTTTCTGGTTTTTATTCCCCAACAAAGGAAGGGGGAGGAATCAGCTGAGTGACTATGTTTCCTTCTGATATTTTTAAGCCTACATCATGGGTTGTTTTCTAAGAAAGTGCCCACTTCCCCGTACCTCCCCTAATGACATCTTCTATGTGGCTGTGTGAGAATCATACAATTACCTCTGCTGATGATTCAGAGCAAATCACCTGTTCCTCCCCACAAGTCTAACTCAAGTGTGTAAGGTGGGGACTAGAGGATGTGGTATTGGCCAGTACAGCATCAGAAACCTGGGTTCCCAGTGACAGAATTAACAGTGCCAGGGATTCAAGTTCATCAGTAAGATTGTGCCGCAGATGAGCAGTAGCCCCTTCTGTCATGCTATGAGCAAGCCTGGTAGAGAGAGCTGAACATCTGGTGCAGGAGAAATAATTCTTGCAGCTCAATTTGACCATGGACATGGTGAAGCAATATAGTAAGCAGTAACAGAGCATGGCCATCACTTACTAAACTTACCTGATGGCTCTTGCATCATTGCATCCTCCTTCCAAAGGTGTTCTAAATATCTCTTATTTTATTATGAATATTCAGTATGATGGAATCTATCTCTCTTCTCTATAGTTATAAACTTCGTTTATGCATGTTGCATTTATTGGTCCAAATTAACGACTTGCTGTAGACTCTAGGAATTCAATCTATGAATTGGGATAGGTTACTACCACTACTCTGGGTGGACTCTATGGATCCCACTAGAACCACCTGAACTAGGGCTGGAGATGCATGGGGTACATATCTGTGTACTGAAGTCTTGTCCTTAGGACACTTCTGTGCTCTGCTTCTTGGGCTGTAGAAAGTGTGTTCCTTGTTCATTGAAGTCATTCTGCCATAGTGGTTCTTCCTTTAGCCAGGGACTGAATCCTCTGAATCCATGTTGCTTGATGGACAGCTGCATCTCTAAATTTCTAGATTTTGGTGATTGAAGCTCCTCTTTCAGTGTTTATATTTTACATTGTTTTCTATAAAGCCTATTCCACTCACTTGAGAAGATAAAAATCCATTGTTGATATCTTCCTTTTAAATAGAGAACCATCAGCACTTGTGAAACTCTACATGTTTTTAATTGAACTACCTGAATAGTAAGGATTTTAAAAATAAATTATGGCATACATGATGTATACTTGTATAGTCTCCCTAGTGTAAGAACTCGAAAGAAGAAATAAAAATAGAAAGGTATAACAGAACTAAAAGGAGAGCAAGAACTTAAGAATTAAACAATGAAGAGAGGGCAAGGAGAAAAGCTAGGAAACATGACAGGGGCAAAACCATACATTTGCATGCACAAGATGGGTAAGGCAATGATCCTGAGAATCTTTAGAAGGTTTGTGAAACTAGCAGTTAATTGGTAAGATTCTCACCCTGACTAACTAGGTATGTTAATACTTGTGAACTAAGCAACTGCACTGAAGATAGCAATGTATAATACTAGGATCATGATTGGAATATGTGTCATTGTGGTCTTCTAAACATGTACTGCTTGTCAGGTCATATCAATTCCTGCTATACTGTTTCTCCTGTAAATGTTTGTTAAAAAAGGGGGATAATAAATGAAAACAAGAGACAAGAAAAAAGTCCCCATACTTTTTAAACATTTCTCACACTTTTAAAAAGAATTGCAATTTTCTTAAACTTTTCTAAACTTGATACCTATGTAATGTTAGTGATATATGTATGTATACTGTGCAGGATAGTAAGTATTCATCTGCTAAGGAAATATGTACTGTAAACAGTGTATTTTATTTCATTTTAACATTCAGTAAATATGTTAAAATTAACATTTTAACATATTTTTATATATTTAACAGATTTTTAGACAAAATCATTAGAACCATAAATAGTATGCATATAAATATGCTGTACGCTATTGCCAAATCCCACAATATAGCAAACAATTGTTGATAAATACTTTAGATTAATATTTTTTGAAAATCCATGAAACAGAGAGCCCAAAAAAGCAGACCATGAAATAACAAGTGACCACTGCAAATTGCTTTGACTAGACCAATTTTTCCCCCTGCTTCATTTACCAGAGCCGTGGGATTACAAACATCTACCACCACCCTGGGTTTACCATTTAACTTTGAAAGACAGCTTTTCTAGAATATAGAAATCTTGGTTGACAGCTTTCCCTCCTGCTACATTGTAAATACATCATTCTACTACCTTTGGCCCTTAGGGTTTTTGATGTGTTATTCATAAAGATTTTTATGTCAATTTCTCATATAATCCTTTTAATTTTTTAAAAAATGAACCAAAATAATAAGAAAACATTTGAAATGACAAAGAATTTCACTAAGCAAGATGACAGAAATTTATCAATTGTTCCATATTGCGTAGTGTTGTCTTCAAATTAATTGTTCAGATAACCAGATAAAAGCACACAAAATTGGTGAAAAAATGAAAAAGAAAAAAATAACATAAGAATTAACTGTTACTTTCAATAAACCCATAGAAATTTGCAGTATTGTTATCTCAGCTATCCTGTATAGGGAAGCCTTTTTTTTTTGGAAACAGGGATTGAACTCAGGACCTGCTACTGAAGTATCCCCCTGGCACAGGGAAACCACTTTTATTACAGCACAATTTGTCATGCCTAAGTCTTTGAAATAAGTTAAATGCTCATCAATTGAGGAATGCATAAAAATGTGGTATTTTTATGCTATGGAGTATTAATCAGCTATAAAAAAGACAAACTATTCAATTATAAAGAAAATGTCCAAAGAAAAGTGTGTTACTCAGCTATGTAGAAATAAACTTGAGCATTTTATAAATAAATGGATGCAACCAGAGGCTATACTCATAACTGAAATGCATTAGACCATAATGTGTAGGCATCATACTGTCATACTAGTGTAAGATCCTGAAAACGTGAATAAAATATGAAAGATATACTAGATGCTGTATAAGGGAAAGAATCTGCTCAAAGAGAAGCAACAACTGGGGTGGGGGAAAGGAGAAAAGAAAGGAGGAAGGCTTGGAAGTTAATCTTATTGAGATTCATTTTTCTGGGATAAGTCATTTCTCTTCTGAAGTTTTGAAGATTTTTCTCTTTGTCTTTTGACACCTTATAAGGAATATCTAAATATTTGTAGATAATCTCCTTTAGCACATTTAGACTTATTCTTTCTGCCTCTCAGACTGAATCATTACATTTATCCTTTAATTTCCTTGGATCTTTACTCCTTTTGCTCAATTCTGCAGTACACACCTATTAGTGAATTTTCAATTACAGCTATTATAAATTTAAGCTCCAGAATTAAACTCTTTTGGCTTTATGAATATTCTTTAGCTTTTTGTACATTGTCTCTGGTTCTCTTTAGTTCATTTTTCAGTTTTCTTTAACTTTTTGAGTATTTAAAAATCCTCAGTATAAAAGCATTGTTTAGTTTATCTGGTGCTTAGGATTTCCAAAAATTATTTTATGTAAACTGTCTCTTTTTTTGTGAATGGGTCATACATTATAGTTTAATTTTATTCTTTGGAACTTTTTGCTGGAAACTGGGCTGGGTATACTATAAATGTGGTTGTTTTCTCAAATAGCCAAGGACATTTCCCTTTCCATAGCATTATGTTTATCCAGAAAGCAAAGTTGTACCTAACATTCTAGGGGGATGAGTTCTTTGTATTATCATATTTCTAGGGACTCATGCTGTGTTTGTTCTTTCCATAACTATGAAGGATCTTGCATATATTTATTTTGTGATAGGCAAGATTTATAGTGCTGTGTCATTTATCCAAACCTTTTTTATGTGATTGCAAAATTGATATATCATACAATCTTCTATCACTCTAATTTTTGCCTGTTAATTTTTGTGATATAGCCTCTATCATCTGGTCTTTGTATGACATACTGGGTATACATATCTCTCTGTCACAGAGTTACTATTATTAACTAACAAGTGCAGAATAATGTAAGACATAGATGCAAATAGAATAGGCAGCCCTTACCATTCCAAGCACCCCTTCAAAGTCTGCTTTATGTGAAATTAGGTATTACAGAAACATACTGGGACTGTGCAAACTTTGTTGTTATACCATGTGTGTAGATATCCCCCCAAAGCTTCATACAGTCAGAGATGGGACATTTTCAGAAGTGAGTGAATTTAGAGTGTGTGACAACTGGATTGATTCATGGTACAATGCTAGACTCACAGGCATTAGGATTAAGGGTGTGAGTGATACCTGACCTTGATGAAATATAGATAGAAAGAGCTGCTGTCCTCACTTGCTTGCTTTTGTTTTCCCCTGTCCATCATGAACTGTATCTCTTTTGCTCTTTCTGAGTCTGATTAAAACCATCCTTGGCGTCAGTTTTGGAGCGTATCTTCTACAAATTGTGAGCTTAATAATCGTTTCCCTCTTCACCCTTGGGTATTGGATATATTGACTCATCAGTAATGGAAATTTCACTACAACAATTGTACTGGTGGCACAATGCCAGTGTGACTTTCAGAGAAACCAAAGTTTCTACCTTACAGTCATTATATTCCAATTTCTGCACCTTTCCCCAAATGTCCAACAAATGATTTTGAAGTGTAGGCTTGAACTCTCTGAAGCATTTCTGGACTCCACTAAATCCTCCAAAGCATTTGCACCATCCTTGAGACTCTGAGGTGTTAGATACCCGGCTCCCTTTGGTATTGCATGCTAAGACTTTGCCACTGCAGTTACACTGCTTATATCCTGCTCATAAGTGCTTCTGTATGACCCCCACTGAGCACATAATGATGATGGGGATCAGTGTGACTGTCATTAGCTCACATTATCTAGCTTCAGTCATTTGCCCCCCAAAAGTCACGACTGATTCTGTCTTCACAGGATTAACAATGTCAGGGTGTTATCTATCTCCATATGTTAGAATGGGTTAGAAGGAAATACCCTTGTGTTGAGAGGATTTCCAGCCTGGGTT